CTGAAAGGAAGAAATTAGATAAGCCCACAAGAATTATTAAAAGCTTCAACACTCCTGTAGCATAGTTGAAAACATGTAGCACATGGAAGATTTAAACAACATAGGAACCAACTCAAATTGACATTTAAAACATAATTTCCTCACCAGTAACAGAATATGTTTTAAATTCAAATAGTCATATAATATTCACCAAATTAATTAGAATGTTTGCAAATATTTCCAACCACAGCTAAATAAGCCATGCTTCAAAGTCACAAAGAGTGTTAGAATATGTCAGTTTAGTGAAAAAGAAAATATAATATTTTAATGTGTGAGATGAATTTGATAATTGAGAAATAGATAGCATTAATTGCGTATATGAAAAAAAGGTTGCTGGGTACTGGTGGCTCCTGCGTGTAATCCTAGTTACTCAGGAAGCTGAGATCTGAGGATCATGGTTTGAAACCAGCCTGGGCAGCAAAGTCTGTGAGACTCTTCTCTCCCTTTAACCACCAAAATGCCAGAAGAGGAGCTGTGGCTCAAGGGGTAGAGTGAGTGGGTGGCATTGTGCCCAAGTACTGGGCCCTAGGTCTCAGCTCCTGTCCTTTATGTCCAGAGTCTGTCTGTGGAAACACTTAGCTTCCCTGCATATAAGAAGACAGGCAGATCCAACAAAATTGAAAAACTCTGAACCTTCTTCTCCCCAAGCCGTGTGATTGGAATCAGTGGATCTGTGAACCCCTATGAAGCTGGCTCTGAACAATCAGACTGAATTAGGTGGGCTGTTTAATAATCATGCTAAATATTGCATATGTAAATAAATATTGCATACCACGTGATATTAGCTGGGCACGACCCCCGTGAGTTTTATTATTTTTAAAGTAAATCTTACCGAATGTCTCCCAAAGAGCGGCTTGGGAGTGCATACAGATTGATTACTGTAAAGCAAATGAACAGACCCATTATCTGACACTCTTGCCTGCTTGTTCTGTTTGTGCAAGAAGACCTGCTGAGATTTCATTCAGCATGGATCTTACATGCAGTACAGTTCTGGTCCAGTTCATCCCTGGATATGTTCATTCCACTGTTCACCCTACCGTGTCAGATCCTCTGATCACACACACCACCTTCCCTGCTGTCTACTGTTTTAAAATTATTTTAGATCCCACATATGTGAGCTGGTACAGTGTGTGTGTGTGTGTGTGTGTGTGTGTGTGTGTGTGTGTGGTTTATTTCACTTAGCACAACAGGTGTTGTGCCAAGGCTAGCAGGATCTTGTTCCTTTTAGGGTTGAATAATACCCCAATGCATATATATATACCAAGCCATAGTTTCTTCATCTATTTGTTTGGTTGTTCAGTAAGGTTAGAGGCACCTCCCCCCCCGCCATTTTCTCCTGCTTTTTCCCCTACAGAGACCCTGGTCTCCTAAAGTTGTCCAGTTCATTTCCAGCAGAGTGTCTAGTGAGTATCACTGTTGCATTGGTGCACCCTTTGTCCCACTGGCTCTGTGATTCCCGTTCCCTTCCCCCAATCAGAGAAACTTGTATTCAAGACAAAGGGCACAGAAATGAAAAGCAGTGACATCAGGGAATAAACCAAACAGAAAAAACGAAAGAAAAAAAGAAATAACTGCAAATAGTACAATAAAAAAACTTTGTTTCCATTTCTTGGAGTTCATTTCAATCAGCATCATTTTATATGGTCATAGGCATATACCTATACACTGCGCTATTGTTGGCCTCTCTTAAGAATATTCTAGACATATTCTAGTTATTATGCATGAGACCAGCAGCAATTATCTTGGTGAACTGATCATTTTACCTCTTCTGTGTAAAAGGACAAAAGGGAATTGAGTTATGTAGTAGTATTATTTTAAATTTCTCTATAATTCTCTAAGCAAATTTTTTACAATGAGTCCATCAATCTACGTTTGTACCAACAGCATACATGAGTTTCCTTTCACCACACTTTTGTAAACACTTGTTGTCTCTTCATTTGTGAGTCAAATGTTGGTTGTAATGAATATCTCAATGTGGTTTTGATTTGCATTTTCCTGATTTTAATGACATTGAACACTTTCAGTCATCCTGTTGGCCATATTTTGAGCCTTCCCCCTCCCCATTTTGCTATCTTTCTTTCTACATTTTAATTAATGTAAGTGTGCATGTGTGCCACCTGTATATTGATTTATACTCGATAGGTACCCAAGAATAGTATAATAGGGTCATAAGGAAGGTCTACTTTTTTTTTAAGCTTTTTGATGAACTTCATACTGATTTCCTAGCAGTTTCACTAGTTTGCTTTCCTACCAGCAGCATTTGAGGGTTCTGAATCCTCCCCAATAATAGTGTTCTTTGTTTTCTTGATACTAACTGCACTAACTAAAATGAGATGGAATCTTAGTGTAGTTTGGCTTCACATATCCTTTACGGCTCAGGATGTTGAATTTTGTGTTGTTTATCAGCCATTTGTATTTCTTCGGAGGACTGGTTAACTCATGTTGCTCACTTATTAACTGGATTATTTGTGCTTTTGGTGCATTTCTTTTTAGCTCTCTGTTTTTGATATTAATCTCTTATCCAGCAAATAGCACATCTCTACTCTGTGTCCTCACCTCATTCTGCTCATTGTTTCCTTTGATGGATGGAAGTTTTTTTTTTTTTAATTTGATGCATTCCTGCGTTCAGTTCCTGTTTTTAGGTCCTGAATGAGTAAAATCCTATTAATAGAACACCTGCCTAGGCTTAGATCTTCAAGAGTTTTCCTATAACAAATTTTAATTCAATATTCCTCAAAGTGCCCTTCACAAAAAGAAAAAAATGGACCCTAAAATTCAAGTAGAAGCACAGAAAGTGCTGAATAGCCTAAGTAATCTTAGAAAAAAAGATCAATATTTGTTTTCTCTCAATTCTAGATGTCCAATTATACTACAGAGCCATAGTTATAAAAGCAGCATGGTCCTGGCACAAAAACATATGACAAATGAAACAGAAGATCTAAACCTAAGGAATTCATGGAGAGGTGAGGTTGTTGGGAACATATTGTAAACATGTGGAAATTGAACAATGAAATCTTCCTCTGTATAATTGATGTAAGCTAACAAAAACTGAAGAAAGAAGCTCCCTACACTTTATAATTAAAAAAATTGAAGAATGAACATGCTCAGGGCTTAAGTACTTCTAACTTCACCACACTAACCTCAGTTTCTTTCTTTATAAAAGTGAGATGAACAGGTCTTCTCACCGAATTATTGCTAACTGAATTTTCCAAGTTAGCAGGAGAGAGGAACTAGCTTATTCTAAAAGGAAGAAGGATCTTCACTTAACATCCCTGGCCATAAAGGAAATGGAAATGAAAACAACACTGAGATCCATCTCACCGCAGTAAGAATGGCCACCATCAAGAATACAAAGAATGAGAAAACCATCTGGTTATAATGTGAAGATATAATGGTAGGTGAACAGATACAATAAGATATTCCATATATATTATGATTTCAGCTGTTTATGTATGTATATGTGCATGCATTTCAGTATGCACACAGCAATGTATACAAAATTGAATATTAATTTAGCTATCAGAAATATATTGCTTTATCAATTCATGAGCAAAACTGAATATATTGTTTCCTGACTTTTTTGTCAATCTAATTTAAAACTCCATCTCTTTCAAATAAATATTATTATAATTCAAAAAAAGAATAGAAAAAATAGATACTGGCATGGATATGGAGGAAAAGGAACCCTAATACACTGTTGATGGGAATGTAAGCTGGTGTGCTCACGATGGAAATCAGTTTGGAGATTCCTTAAAACAAACAAACATAGAAGACCTACTGTACGGTCCAGTGATACCCCTTTACACATTTATCCAAATATCAGATTAGGATGCAATAAAGTTACTTGCACAACCATGATCATTGTTATACTATTCACCATAAGCACTATATAGAAATATCCCAGATACCCTATAGTAGACAAATGGATCAAGAAAATGTGGTACAGATATACAACAGAGTTTTACTCATCCATGAAGAAGAATGGCATTTCACCATTTGCAAAAAAATAGATGGATCTGAAAAAAAAAAAAGATGTTAAGTGAAGTCACCCAGGCCCAGAGAGACAGAAGACATGTGTTTCTTCGATGTGGAAGTTAGATCTAATTCACAAACATGTAAGTAAGCATATAGAGGGCCACGGGCATATGTTCACAAATGTATTAAGTAAGTGTGATATGTGCAGGGGAGAATTTCAAGTGTGTAACTCCTTTGACCAGCCTAAAAAAATGGATACCAGGAAGCTGGATAAGGTCAAGGGGAATGGGGGGGGGGAGAAGTAGATAAATGAAGAAAAAAAAGAGGTGAGAATACAGTCATCCTATTAAATATATATGTGAAAATGGAGCTAGGAAAGTTGAGGGGAAAGGCTAGGTTGGAAGAGATGGGGGAGAATGATGGAAGGGTTGACACTGAGGAAGAGGCCTTGAGTTCACAAACTGCCGTGTTGAATCGTAACCCCCCTGTACAGCTACTACTTAAAGATAATAAAATAATTAGCCTGCGCCAGTGGCTCATGCCTATCAACCTAGCTACTCAGGAGCCTGAGATCTGAGGTTCAAAGCCAACCCAGGCAGAAAAGTCCCTATGAGACTCTTAATCTCCAACAAACCACTCAAAAACCAAAAGTGGTGCTGTGGCTCAAGGGATAGAGTGCTAGCCTTGAGCACAAAGAGGTTCAGGGACCTCAGTGCCCAGGCTAGGAGTTCAAGCCCCACAACCAACAAAAAAAGATAATACAATAATTAACAACAACAACAACAACAAAAGATCTTAACAGCATCAGTAGCTCCAAGCAAATACTTTCCTCTTTTGTCTATTCGTAAGAGAAAAGAGTCAGTAGGGGACCATGCAAATCAGACCTCATTCCAATCAAGAGTCTGTAGGGGACCATGCAAATCAGACCTCATTCCAGTCAACAAACCCTGCCACAGAGACACTTGAGAACAGGAAGGGGAGGGAGCAGACAGGGCCAGTTCAACCGGATCCTCTTTGCAGTGTCCAGATGCTGGTTTCAGACAGCTTTGGTTTGCACAGTGGGGACAAAGAACAGGGCAGTGTTTGGGAGAGAAATTCAAAGGGCCCGTGGCAGCGTCCTGGCTTTGTAGAGCCAGAGCCGACTCCTGCAATAGGAGCTTGACTCGCTGCCATTGGAGCGGATCTCCAGACATCCTTCCAGCTCCGTGCAAAGTCCGGATTGCAAGCCTCAGCTCAGAGACCCGGGAGGACGCACACCACGACTCCTCATTCTCCTCATTCTCCGGTGGCTGCTGAACTGATCTCACTGGAAGGGAATCTCTTTTCCTAGACGTGGGATCCCAGGGACGTCCTTGGAGACTGGTGTGGCTGCAGCTTTTCAGGTGATGTCGTAAAGCAGCAGACGTGTGGGTCATAGACAGGACTGAGGGTCAAATCGGATGACGCGAGAGACCCAGGCATTGGAATTGTTTTGTGTGTAGGATTCATGCTAAGTGAACAGATTTTGGCTGTTCTGACAAAAACAAGTAAGCAAACCCAAATATCCCCACGCAAACAAATACATGAAACCGGTATTGATTGGTTTCACTTTGGGAACTCACTTTTATGCTCATTTAAAATCATGTGGTATACTTGAAAGAAACATCCTAGCATTTTTTTTTTTTAAAGAATAAAAGTCATTGAGCCAGGAGCTGGTATAATCCCAGCTACTCTGGAGGCTAAGATCTGAGGATTGCTGTTTAAAGCCAGCGCGGGGCAGAAAAGTCTGAGACTTTTCTCTCCAATTGGCCACAAAAGGTCAGAAGTTGAGCTGTGGCTCAAGAGGTAGAGCGTTAGCCTTAAGTCCAAAGCACCCAGGCCCTGAGTTCAAGCCCCTGGACTGGCAAAGGACTCAACTCAGAATATTCACATTTAGTTATTTATCGTTAGGATGTGTGGGCACAGGGAAAAGAGCAAATATAATTTAAGAAATGTATGTCTGGGCCTGAACTAGTATATAAATGAGGAAGGATTGAGACTTTCTGGGAACAAGTGGGAAAATGGAGACACGGCTATGTAGAGATGCTGTAAATATTATAATTAATTTTTCTGGTTACATCAGATGGTATGCATTGTTTTATTTCTTTGCATGACTGGTGAGAAGATAGTTAAGCTCAAAGTCAGAGAAGAAGTAACAGAAAACAGACCTGATTAATTGTTCATTTACATCATACAAGCTCATTTTATGATATAACTTTTTAACCTGTAATTCCAGCCTCATCATATTTTTGCTTACCTATGTTCTCTTTTGAATTGTACTTAGACTCTATATGTTGCATTTTAGGTCCTGTATTTCCCAACTCTAATGCTTTATCAAATGTCCATACGTACTATGTACTATGCCTATGTGTTTGACATGAATGTGTTAAAGGTTGCATTGCTCTACTAGTGGTTATATTTTACATGATCTCTTCTTATTTCTAGATACTAGAATTTTGTTATACAAGAAGAAAGGAGCAAGGGTCAGCAAAGTTAAGGCTGGTAGAGTGACTTATTTCTATAATCCTTGCTATTCAGGAGGTAGAGGACAGGAAGATCATAGTTCAAAGCCAACACAGGCAACAAGTTGGTGAAACCCTCATTTCAAACAACCACCCAGCATTGTGCTTCATCCTGTCAGCCCAACTATGACAAGATCCCAGCTCTTAGGATCTTAGTCTAGGCCGGCCCAGGCATGAGTGCAAGGCCTATCCTCACCTAAAATAACTGAAAGCGTTGTTTGCCTATTCTCTACTAATTTCTACAATATGTATCACAGATCCAAAAATGAGGCTGAGAGATGATGTTGGGCTGAAAAATGAAGCCAGCCTTAGTGGCAGGACAAAAGCAGCAGCTTTCAATATGATTTAGTAATAATTTTAAGGAAGGGCCTTTATCTATGTTTAGAATATGTTCAAATGCCCTAACGTGAAGACATTGCATAAAATGGGCATGGTGGTGCATACCTGTAATCTGAGTAACCCAAAATGCAGAAGTAAGAGGATTCCAAGTTGAGGCCAGACTGGACAAAGTCATTGATAATCTATCTTGAAAATGTAGCTCAAGTGATAGAGTGCTTTTATCTAGATGGTACAAGGTTGGGGTTACTCCTCAGTACCGAAAGAGCAAAAACAAGGCTCATCTAAACAATACTCAGCATTTTAACCCAAGTGAGGAAAAGAAGAAGGAACAGGAGGAGGAGAGTAATCATAGTAATGGAACAAACAATGTCATCAGTGCTTTCTATATAGCTAAAGCTTCCCTGAGCACCTTGTATGTAGGCCCTTCATGTATTGCTCATGAAAATTCTATGAAGTCTGTGCTATTATCCCATTTACCTTTGATGACAACAAAGCACAGACAGGCTAAGCAGTGTTCCCAGGGTTACACAGCTTGTTCCTAAAGGAGCCAGGATAATCACCCACACCAACTAACATTCAGGAGACACGTGTTTTTAGACAGGTGAATCTGAAGTGAAAACTAACCAGCTGGAATTCCTTCAAGGGTAAGCATGGGCTGAGAGAAATGTAGAAAGAGATCTTTGTGCTTTCTGCTCCCTCTGGCCCATCTTGTCTTTTTTCAGAGTCGATGAGGATGTCCAGGAAGACCCAGTAAAGAAGGACTTGGCCCACTTTGGTCGCTGAATTCACTCCAGCTCTTCTCATTCCTGGATGTTCCTTGGTCATCTCTAGGCAAAGGCATTTTCTTCCACCATGTTGTTGTTGCAAGGTGCCCAGATGTTGCAGATGCTGGAGAAAGCTCTGGTGAAGAGCCTCCCTGAGTCCTTGAAGGTGACAACAACAACGAAATGCTGAGGGAACCCCAAGGAAACTTGCTGTGAAAAAGATTCACATTGATGTCAGGAACCATCCCATAGTTACTCCCCTTGAATTTGCAGAAATCTCTACTTAATATTTGGTATGAAGTCCTTGTCATTGATTAAAAAAAGACCACATAATGGATGCTGTTAGGCGCCAGTGGTTCACCCCCATAATCCTAGCTATGAGGAGGCTGAGATCTAGGGATCATGGTTCAAAGCCAGCCCAAGCAGGAAAGTCCATGAGACTCCTCTCTCCAATGAACTTCCAAAAAGTAGGAAGTGATACAGTGATTCAAGTGGCAGGGTGTTAGCCTTGAGCACCCAAAGCCCAGGGAGAGTGCCCAGACCCAGCGTTCAAGCCCCAGGAAAGGAAAAAGAAAAAGAGAAGGATGCGGAGTTATTTGATAAATATCCCACCAATAATGAGGTGTAGAGGAATGATATAATCACCTGCTTTTTTTTTTTTTGGTCTGGGTGATGACCAAAGAAATCCTTCCCTTGTTCTCTTTCAAGTCCTTAATAGCCTTGAACTTTGCCCAGAGATTTTCTTCAAAATCAATTGAGGGTACATATTATCATTTAATGTGTTTATTCCAATGGACCACTTGCCAGGTGAGAGGTTAACCATCATACTAGTGCCCTTGACTTTAGCTTGCTTTCTGTTTTTACTGCAATTGCCCAATTGCTCTGACCTTAATATGTATTGGGCTGCTGTGGGAAGCAGGCTGTCCATATGTTTCTTAACCTCATTGCAATTGTTTGGAAATCTTTAGGTTGAGTACAATAAATAACACAAATGCTTATATCATCAACTAGGCAAGAAACACTCTAAGTAGATTCAAATTCTTGCTCTTATTTTTCATCAACAATAAAAAAAGGGCATGCTCATACTGGTGAAATCTAGGTATAACTCTCTGGGTAGTATGTGTATTTAAAAGAAAACCATTTCTGGATTTGTATTATTCTATACCACATATTCTATAAAATAGGGAAAATAACATATGTCGGTAACTTGATTTTTTTTAAGTTAGTTGTATGCCTCCGGGTATGAATAGGAGAAAGTTTAGAAAGAAAAGGACTGGAAACAATATTAAATCCTACAATAAAGTAAGATTGATTTTATTGGAGTCTTTACTCCTTGCATTATGAGTCACATTTGATGGAGAAAGTGCCCATCAAATTCAGGTTGAAAAAGGAAAGTAGTACATGGAGATTGTTGGATTTAGATAATCAAGATAGCTCTTTTCTATCACAAAATGCAGCAATTTCATAGAAACATTTCTTCTCATTGAACAGCGCACTTTGACATTCCTTCTGCATAAACTTACCTTGTCCCCTTCCTTGGGGTCCGGCAGGTATATGGTACTGTCTTCCACATAAACCATGGAAACCCATTCAAGCTAAAGGCCCTTGTAGACAAATGGCCTGATTTTAATACAGTGGTCATCCGCCCTCAGGAGCAGGTAAGTGCCAATAGTGGAACACGTATGTTTCTGTGTTCATATGTGCTATGAGCCTACCACATGTCTGGTGAGATGGCAAAACCTGTGGACACAAACATGAATCACCATAGTGGCAAAAAGGTCCTGTCTTCCCTACATCCTAGAGGAAAAGACAGATGAATGCCAACTTGATGTAGGAAGGAATGGATCTATACAAGGTAGAGAACATTAGTCCAACGAAAAGAGGATTAAACGGTAGAAAGTTAGAGGTAGAGGTATCAGGATAATGTCCCAGGCTTTTCTTGGTAGAGATTCCATCCAAGCTTTGTCTCTCAGGTAAAGTTATTTTTGTGAGACCAGCAAGGGGGATGTGTACCTTCAAATGGGAGATCCTGGAACGAGCAAAGAGAACACAGGGCAGGGAGAGAGGCTGCAACAAAGGGCTGAGCTACAAGGCTGGAGAAAGACTTAAAATTGATGAAGCTATCCAGTTAATACAATTATTCACAGATAAAACGCCATGATCTTGTTTTTAAGGATTGAAAACAAACTGGTACACGTTAGTTGTACAAGGGCTAATTTCATTGTGACACGCATGCCTGTGTCCAGATCAAACCCACCCCTCTACCTTCTCTCTCCTTTCTAAAATGACTTCAACAGGTTTCATTGTTCTGTTTTCACATATGCCAAGAAAGTATTTCAAACACATTCACCCTCCTTCACCCTTTCCATTGGCCCTTCCTCTTCACACTGCCTCCGAAGACAGCTGATTTACCATTCATTTAGTTTTAATTTTAGTGTGTGTTAATGGCATTAAAGGGCTTTGGTACTCACTGGTATCTCACAGAAGCAGAGAGAATATGGTAGTTATCAGAGGTTGGAGCATTTGTAGAAGACTAGAATAATGTTAGGATACAAAATTACAGTTAGAGCCCTGGTGGCTTGTGTCTGTAATCTTAGCTACTCAGGAGACTGAGATGTGAAGATCATAGTTCTAAGCCAACCAGGGTAAGAGTCTGTGAGACTCATCTCCAATTAACCACCAGAAAACCAGAAATGGCACTGCTACTAGCCTTAAGCGAAAAACACAGGGAGAGCGCCCTATCCCTGAGTTCAAGCCCCACAACCAACAAGGAAAAAAATTACAGTTAATTAAGAGTCACAGGATTAAGACACACGCAGTATAGCGTGGTGACTCTAGTTAAGAGGTGTTTTGTTCTTGGAAAATATGGTGTGGATATAAAATATTCTCTTCAGAAAATTCATAACTGTGCAGAAAAGTATAAACTACTTAGAGCTAGACTTATATATTCCACAATGTACATGAACAGCTTTGAGTTGCATAATGACTTCTCAGTCAATGATGGGCCACATCCAGTGGTTCCATCAAAACATATTACCTAGTGACGTGGGATCCATTTGATTTTGTATAAACACAACATGTGATATTGTGTGATGTGGCAAATCACTTTACTCATTTCTCAAAACACATTCTCACTGTTAAAGAATGCAGCACTATATTTTAAAATGTGTAGATGATGAATACTTTCAATTTTGCCTATGACTTGAAAAAAGTCAATTACAAACTTTAAAAAGGTATAAAATAAAAACGAGTAGAACATAAAAATACAAATATGGTATTATAACTAATATGAATTCAAGACACTGAAAAATCACCACACTGAAGAACGGATTAAGTAAATTCACCTTCATGGTCAAACTTTCACTGAAATAAAATGATTTGATCTTTCATAAATGATCTTGACCAAGAAAATACACTGCTGACTTGGGATTATATTTTTGTGCAGCATTTCACAATGATCTTCAAAAAGAATTACATTTCTATCTTAGTGATGGCACTATTTGTTTCTACTTCTTTTGTCAGAATAATTTTATCTAGAATTTAATACGTTGAATGTATCCTTTGAATATTATGTTTCCTTTCCTCAAGTATAATTCACACAGTTTTCAAAGAAAGCTTTTCTAATTGGCTTTCATCTTTGGTTTTTATTATACATAGCCATAGATTTTAATTCAGTTATATGTATCAAATTTAATACCATCGTGAACATAGTTGATGTGTTCTGCAAGCATTTGAATTATAAACTTTTTTTACGTGCAACAGAAATTTTCCTCCATCAGCTACTTTTCTTCACATTGAGGATGATTAACATATAGCTGTGACTTTGATTTGCAATGCTTATGTAATATATGCATAGTACATAATCTTGTTGGATGCTCAGATCTCTCAGCTCATGATTTATGACTCCAAAAGAATTCTACTCCACCAATGGAGGTCCCAGTATTTTTGTTACATGATGTACAATGTCCAACCATAAAGCAATACAATTAGAAATTAAAAGGAAGGCATTTTATACTCCCTTTCCAAATGATTGCAGGCGATGACAGATGACCATGATCACTACACCAATACTTACCAGATCTACTCCAAGCACCCTCAAAACTGTCAGGAATTCCTGGACTCTCCAGACGTCATCAATTGGAGGCAGCACTTTCAGATTCAAAGTAAGTAGGGGGAACAAGATGCATACTGGCTCACTTGATGTAGCCTGGTGGCCTCTCTGCTAAGCTCTGGATCCATAACTCGAAGTCCATGTTCAGTTTCAGCTTCATTTCTATCTACAAAGTACGTGTGTGTGTGTGTGTGTGTGTGTGTGTGTGTGTGTGTGTGCCCGTAGGATCTTCAAATACTGCACAGAATGGGCTTCATACAGAGGCACAAAAATTCCCATTGCCAAGAGTTGTTTTTTTTCTTTCTTTTTTTGGTCAGTCATGGGGCTTGAACTCTGGGCCTGGGCGCTGTCCCTGCGCTCTTCAGCTCAAGGCTAGCGCTCTACCGCTTGAGCGACAGCGCTACTTCCAGTTTTCGAGTGGTTTATTGGAGATAAGAGTCTCATGGACTTTCCTGCCTGGACTGGCTTTGAACCATGATCCTCAGATCTCAGCCTCCTGAGTAGCTAGGATTACAGGTGTGAGCCACCAGCGCCTGGCCCCATTGCCAAGAGTTTATGGCCTGCTTTTCAACTTTATCCAGAATCCATAGGATGATTGAGTACTAGAAGAGGTGATTCTCCACTGTCCTCCCATTCCGGAGTAAGAATGACAGCTCATTGTGTCCCAGATCACCTCCCAGATCATACTCATTGTCAAGATTACAAGCATGCTCTCTAAGACACCATCTCCATGTACGACTTTATCGAGGTGACCTGTGTAAAAATCAAGGGTCATAATGTCGCTAGCACAATGCCTAAAAAGCAAAGTCAAGTGGCAAATTAAATGATGTGAGGAGGAAGAGTTTAGTGTCTACTAATTGGGAGGTTCCAGTTAGTAACTCTTGCATAGCACACATCATCATTAACTGTATCAATCTATTGGACTCCATAGACAGTTTCTCGGCTGGTAACTCAGGATATACGTAGACAGTTGATAGACTCAACCCTGATTGCTTTGAGGTGGCCTCAGTCACACATCTGAATGGTGGTCCAGACTGTCAGTCAAGGCTAGTTGTTGGCAGTGATGAAAACATGATGATGACCTGTGTCTCCAGCATGCTAGCTTAGGCCCATGTTTGTAATGCAGGTCTCAAGATCACCAAAGGGAAAAATGGGGAAAGTTCCAAGGGACAACACTTTTAAGGCTCTCCCTGCATTGCAATTACTCTTGGCACTGGTGAATGCAAGTCACACAGCCCAGGTCAGATGCAATGCAAAGATGTAACCAGGGAGTGGCTATAAGGAATATGGCTACATTGTGACTCATTACTGCAACAATCTATCACACAGAGAATTGGGCTCAGTAGATACTTGCTACTATTTTTTTATAACACATCATCTTTGATGTTCAAAATGACACAATTGTGTAGTCCAGAAAACTCAGTGCTAGCCTTTGAATGGCTACTAAAAACATGACTCTGAATGATGTGTTTTTGATGTAATTTTCTTGCTTGTTTTGGTTTTTGGTTAGTCATGGGGCTGGAACTCTGGGCCTGGGCACTGTCCCTGAGCTCTTCAGCTCAAGATGAGCAGTTTACCATTTGAGCCCTAGCACCCTTCTGGTTTTTTGATGGTTAATTGGAGATAAGAGTCTCACAGACTTTCCTGCCTGGGCTGGTATTAAACTGTGATCCTCAGATCTCAGCCTCACGAGTAGCTAGTACTATAGGCTTGAGCCACTGGTGCCCAGCTGATGTGTGTGTGTGTGTGTGTGTGTGTGTGTGTGTGTGTGTTTAAATTTATGCATGACAGGAAAATTATATAAACCCCAACTATGTGATGATAAGGTTTCCTCACTTAAATCTAATGACACCTTCTCCTCCATTGGAAAGCTCCTCCCTGGAACCCTTATGTGTCTCCTTATGAACTCATAACGCGTTGCCTTTATAAATCCATCTAGGTACGCAGTCCAGCCTGGATGAAGTGATACAAAACTTTGCAACCATTAAATCTTTCAAAGTCACCTATTCAAATAACCTTCTATATATGACGTCGGAGACAGTCAACAAACTGATTCCTTCACTGATGGACACAAAGAATTTACCACCCACTGGTGGCAAGCCAAAGGCCATGTGAGTGTGATGAAATCCATTCAGTACTACTCACCCCTCCTCACTGAACTCCCACTACCGAATTTCAATCTGGCTTTTTAACAAGAATATAAAACAATTGGAATTAATTATACACACACACACACACACACACACACACACACACACACACAATATACACATACAGAGAAAGAGAGAGAGAGAAAAAGAGAGAGAGAGAAACACCATTCCCGGGGCTTGAACTCTGGGCCTTGGTTCTGTTCCTGCGTCTCTTTGTACTCAAGGCTAGTATGCTCTACCACTTGAGCCACAGTGCCACTTCTAGCTTTTCCTGCATAGTTTATTGGAGATACGAGTCTTGTGGACTTCCCTGCCCAGGAAGGCTCTGAACCATCATCATCAGATCTCAGCTTCCTGAGTAGTTAGGATTACAGGCATGAGCCACCGGTGCCCAGCTTAGAATAATCTTTTTGAAAAGTATAACTCAGAGCCAGAGCTCTGATAGTTCCCACCTACAACCTTAGCTAGTCAGAAGGCTGAGATCTGAGGATTGCCTTTTGAAGCCAGCCTGGGCATAAAAGTCTATGAAACTCTTAATTCCAGTTAACCAAGAAAAGGCCAAAATAGCTCAAGGGGTGGTGCACCAGCCTTGAGAGGAAAAAGCCAGATGAGAGTGTGAGGTTTTGAGTTCAAGCTTCAGGACTGGCATTTTTTTTTAAAGGATAAAATTCAGACCATGCTCCTGTCTACTTAAAAGCCTTCACCACCTTCCTTCTCATCAGAAACAAACCACTCTGTCTTGACATCAGCCATATTTATTCCTGTTCACTTACTTCACCCACAACTTTACGTTCCTTTATCATCATCTGCTCCTCCATACTCCAGGACTGAACATTTGCTGGGTACCCTATTCTTCTCATTCAAGCTAATAGAGGTAAGAGAAAATACACACCCTTCCGCTCCTATATTTTGCTTTCTTTCTTTCCATAGCAATCAAGACATGTTTAAACTCTCCTCCTTGGATGAGACTCATGCTGCCATGGTGGATAAATTTTGGTCTTATGGCGGCAATGAGAAGAGCCAGAAGTTCATCGCGCGATGTTTACGGAGCTTCCCAAGCTCCTGTGTCTTGGGACCTGAGGGAACCCCTGTATCCTGGACATTAATGGACCAGACTGGAGAGATACGAATGGGAGGCACTCTGACTGAGTATCGGGCCCAGGGTCTGGTCTCCTATGCTGTCTATTCACAGGTGCAGACTATGAACAAACTCGGCTTCCCCAGTTATTCTCACACAGACAGGAAAAACAAAGCTATGCAAAAAATGAGCGATGCTCTACACCATATCCTCATGCCCTGTCACTGGAACCAGTGGGTGTGTTCTCCTCTGTGACACTGTCTTTAGACACAAGGCATTATGCCTGGGCGTGTCACTGGAGGAGTGAAATAAATGGAATCGTTAGCAAAGGAGTGGATGCTGTTTGGGATCGGGTTTAGCCGTGTAAATGGAACTTCATGATCCCTGCGTTTAGATGGCTGCTGGATTTCCCTTAGCAGCAATGGTTAAGATGGTACCTAAACACTTGAATCTGGCCTAGATCCTGTCCTTCTAGGATCTCTACGACATTCCTTCATCGACTACAAAATGTGCCTAATTGCTTCCCTGGAGCACCTAGCCCAAGGGTAGGGAAACTTCTTCTAATTTTGCTAGGGATAAAGAGCTAATAGTATCTGTCCATTTTGGCTTCTTTAGAGATCAGCAGGTGTTCTGCCCTCATTTAAGAGGAGCTTCTGTTCGATCTGCTGCTTTGTCACCATGCTAAAAACATAAATTACTGGGGATATTAGATGAAACAGAATTTACATGACATAGCAAGGACAGTTAACTAGGAAAAGAAAAGACAAATGGACTATACTAGTTTTTTTCCTAGCTCCCACACCAGGGAAACGGATCTTGTATGTTGCTTCGAGGCCGCATCTCCTAATCCCTTGAAGCTTTGCAGCAGTCAGGTTTGGGGCTTGATCATACCAGCACATGCTGAGCAGTGTAGATTGGGAGAACGCAGGGTGGGCATGTGGGGATGTGTAGATTGGGAGAACGCAGGGTGGGCATGTGGGGATGTGTAGATGATTGGGAGAACGCAGGGTGGGCATGTGGGGATGTGTAGATTGGGAGAACGCAGGGTGGGCATGTGGGGATGTGTAGATTGGGAGAACGCAGGGTGGGCATGTGGGGAGTAGCAAGTGAGAGCACCCAGACCCAGAGAGAGGACAGTTCGGAGGGGCAGAGTACAGGGTAGAAGGCCTCATGGCCTCTGCCATATGCTTCAGAAGGCTCAGGCTTCGTAAAGTTCAGATGCTTGTGTCGTGAAGCCGTTCGTTGGCGGTGAGAGCAACAGGAGAGATATTTTAGGGTGGAACAGGTCTGCTAGGACCGCCTTCTGTCCCAACACTGCCAGAGAAACAGCACTCCTCATCAACATGGGGAAGTCTGGATTGTTCTGGAATGAAGGAAGGTTGAGACCTGTATTTAAAACATGTCCCATTATGTTTGACCCAAAAACTGCAATGAAGCTACAGAATTAGAAAGAAAATTCCAGCTAATTCTCATCAACTCCCAAAATAATGGCTGAGGTTTAGTTCCCTAGGCATTAAAGAACTAGAAATTTGGTGTGGAGCAGTATATACATACATATATACATACATATATAAACACACTTATGTATGTATATATACATACATTCTGTCTTGGGTTTGAACTGAGGGCCTGTACTTGTCCCTGAACTGTTTTACTCAAGGTTAGCACTCTACCACTTGAACCACAGACCCACTTTCAGTTTTTTTGGTAGTTAATTGGAGGTAAGAGTCTCATAGACTTTCCTGCCCTGGCTGGGTTCAAACTGTGATCCTCAGATCTCAGCCTCCTGAGTAGCTAGCACTACAAGCATGAGCCATAGGTATGTCCAGGTTCAAAATATTTTTTAACGATGAAACCACTCCTGATTTAGAAAGGGGGGAGTTTTATTTAAAAGATTATGGAAGGCTTGGAAGGTGGCTCAGTGGTAGAGTGCTTGCCTTGCATACATGAGGCCCTAGGTTTGATTTTTCAGCACCACGTAAGCAGAAAAAGCCTGAAGTGGTGTTGTGGCTCAAGTGGTAGAGCGCTCGCCTTGAGCTGAAGAGCTCAGGGACAGTGCCCAGGCCTAGAATTCAGGTCCCACAACCAGCAAAAAAAAAAAAAAAAGAAAAAGAAAAATGAAAAATTATGGAAAGATGGAAGAAGGAACTCTTGCATAGGGAATGGACAGGCTATTTCAGTAAAGAGAGTTTTCAGACCATAATATCAAATGACACCTGAGAAGTGGAGAGGAAAAGTAAAAGTAGGGAAGTATCTACCTTTCCTTCTTTATGATAAAGAGGAGTTCTCTATATTCCAGCTCTGATTCAGGTTGAGTGTGTGTTAAAGTTCAACTGAATTTGAATTTGGTAAGAGAATCTTTGCCCTGGTAACCAGTGAAGTTGAACAGGTTAGCTAACCAGTGAAACTGAACAGTTTAGTTAACCATTCATGAAGGGCAGGATGGTACTATGTCCTCCAACAAAGAACATTTTTCTGTGCATTCCAGCGGAGGTTAACAAGGTATTTCATTCTGATTCGTCTCATGCTAAAACATGACAAGATAATTGACCAACAATTGTTACATGCCAATTTTCTTTACACTTATCATTGGGGGTTAACTGTTGAATTCATGCTTTATGAGACAAAGAAGATTCATGTTTGGCCACACAAAAATTCATATCTTTGTGAATTCATGATAAAAACAGCTTCATGGCCAATAGACACATGAAGAAATGCTCAACTTCTCTAGCCACAAAAGAAATGCGAATCAAAACAACATTGAGATTCTACCTCACCCCAGTTAGAATGGCTATAAACAAGAAATCTAATAACAACAGATGCTGGAGGGAATGTGGCCAAAAGGGAATCTTACTGCATTGTAGGTGGAAGTGTAAACTTGTTCAACCACTTTAGAAAGCAGTATGGAAGTTCCTCAAAAGACTCCACATAGAGCTCCCCTATGACCCAGCAATCCAACTTTTGGGCATTTACCCAAATGTTTACAAACAAGACCACACTAAAGCTACCAGCACAACTATGTTTATCACAGCATTATTCACCATAGCTAAGATATGGAACCAACCCAGATGCCCTTCAGTAAATGAATGGATCAAGAAAATGTGGTACACACACACGCGCGCGCGCACACACACACACACACACACACATACACAATGGAAGTCCATGTCTCTATCAGAAAGAATGACACTGCCCCATTTGTTAGGAAATAGAAACACTTGGAAAAAATTATATTAAGTGAAGTAAGCTAGGCCCAAAGAAACATAGGTACCATGGTTTCCCTTATTTGCAATAACTAGTATATATCTAGGACAAGCAAAAAAGTTCAAAAGCTATGTACATATGACAATATAAGATGATGTTAAGTGAAATGAACCCCAAGATTGGAACACAAGAGGTTTTGTCTTTCTTTCTGTTGTTTTAAAATGTACTTATAATGTACTATGTGGTTTTTGTGGTTTCTTTTGTATGTTCTTCCCCCATGGTATAACCCCTGTGTTCACTGTAGTTGATTCTGGTGCCCTGCATCTTGTATATATATATTTTTTTCTAATTTGGGGAGGGGAAGGAAAATAACAAAATGCTGAAATAAGGATACAGGTTGACCCATTGTAATAATGAGATGTATAAGACATTATGTTGAAAATGGGAGGGAGGAGTTGGGTCAGTGGGGAGGGAAAGGATGGTAGGGGAAAAACAAAGGAGGGGTAACAATGCTCAATAGGAGATGTACTCATTACCTTACTCATGTAACTGTAACCCCTCTGGTGCAGTATCTTTACAATAAAAAAAGGTATTTTTTAAAAAGAAGAAAAAATCCAGCTTCATTCACAATCACATAAAATTAGAAAGAACCCAAGAGTCCTTCAATAGGGCAGAGATACATGAACTCATGCACTGAAATAACTATTATGCACCAAATGGGTTTGTCACAAAAAGATACCATTCTCAATATATACTAAGTACCAAGACACTTATATTACTGAAATCCAAAACTGAAATAAAAATTCTAAGGTGACTTTTAAAATGCAGGTGGTACTTTGAATTGTGAGTGTATTCTGTATTAAAAAAAATCAGCTCTTCAGTACTAGAATGGCTATCTGTTCAGTTGAGACTAGTAAGATTATTATTTTTCATGGTAATTCTAGTTAGCAGTGCACCTTTAGGTAGGTTTGATAGAAATTCATGGAGTTGGTTGAACAATACTTTTGTCAAATCTTTTCAATAACATCTTAGTTCGCTTGTTATAAAATCTTATTGAGTAACCCGATCGTATAACCCATTCAAGTTCAGCCATTCTAGCACTCTGCCAATGAATAACATGTATTTTCTTTGCAGTAGTACTACCAATCAAATCTCAGAAGCCGAACACTAGAAGTCTTTTGTCATTGTCCATAAAACAATAGAAGATCCCACAGCTGTAACCTAGAGAAAAGGGCTTCTAAAGATATGTCATACGGAACTTACCCTAACAGTATTTTTTCCCAGTCACTTATAATAAAATAACATTGGACTTGCAAACTGAATTGAAACACAATACACATATTTAACAAAAGAACAAAAATGTCCTTGTATATATACATATTCCCATGATCCAGTAATAATTTTTCATGGAAAAAATGGAAGTTTTTTCTTAAAGTTTTACCTGAAAACTTATAGCATCAGGAAATTTAGCCCCACTCCCTTGTCTCTTATGATATAGAAAAGTAAAGTTCCTCAGTGGCCAGGTTAATACTGTGGGGATTCTATTTAGGTAATTCCAGGGGAACATCCCTGATTCTTCAGAAGGCTATGTGTCTTTTAAGAGCATTTGAAAGGATCAAGGACAGCTGAAGGCTAGTCTGCCTGGCTGTCTGGGTGTGTCAGCTCTCTCTGAGGGACTCCTGTTGGCCATCTATCTTTGTCTATCCCATTGGATAACATAAAACACAGCTCTTCCATCTGAATAGTCACATCCAACACATTTATAGTTTTTGACTTTCACAGTTTTAGAATAATGGATTGGTCTTGTGTGTGGTATTTTGTCCCGACCCGCAGGACGTCAACGAGGGCAGTGAACCTAAGCTAGAAGGAATGAAGGGACAAGAGACACGAAGAATGACAGCAAGACAAGGATTCTGATCAAGCTGCCAATTTTTATTTTTCACACAAGGGTATTTATATGCTTTGAATAAGGAAGCTTTTTCATTGGCCATAGCAGCTGCAGGATGTTTACTTAGGGCAGGGGAAAGGGTGGTCGTTAGCAGTTGCAGGATGTTTACTTAGGGCAGGATGAGGGTGGGATTCTGTAAACTCAGCCTCAAGATGTTCCAGTGAGATAGTCAAGCCTATTATGTTGAGAGACTCAACTTTTGGCTCCCAACAGTATTTTCCCTCCCTTATCTCACCTGTGGGAATCTATGATAAGGCAACCACATCCAAACGTTCATGGTTTCACACCAAAAGTATCTGAAACCATCACCATCTAAAGAGGAGTAAAAGTCAACCTAGTCACCGACAGACCCAGGGGCTTTCTCCAGGTGATGGCTGAGACTCTTGTAGGTTAGTGTGTGAAGGAGTGAGAGGCAGGTGTCCCAGATAGAGGGACTGCCATGACTTCCACCTGTTGCCCAGAATCAGCTTTTTATGTCACAGAGGCTCTGTTGAAACTGGGAACTGTGCCCACCTCCCGTAGGAGTTCTGCCTTCTGTGCTGGAGGGGATGTTTCTGTGTTCTTTGTCTGAGGTGAATCCACAAGATGGTTTGAGCTACAGGAGGTAAATTTTAGGGCAGAATTAAGAAAATGATTTTTTTAACTGTCGTTAAGTAGTTGTCCAAAGGACTTGCCATTTAACAAAGTTTACAAATACGATACATCTTTATCAACGCCATCCCTTTCAACATTCTCACCAATCCTTTCCCTGTTCACCCTTCCCTCACTCTTCTTAATTTTGTTTTTTTATTTTTTAATATAAGTTTATTGTTATTATTAAGGTGTTTTATAGAAGGATGACCATATCCTAAGTCAGGTAATGAGGACATTTCTTTTTGGACAATGTCACCCCTTCCTTCACTGTCTCCCAGTTTCTCCCTGCTCACTAATTGCATAGTTAGAAAGTGATTTTGGGGGGGGAAGATCAAAGGCGTAAATGTTTTAGGCTGGTGGGTCAAACCAGCCATGTGAAAAGTCAGTATAGACAATATATAAATAGATGATGTGATTATTTAAAAAAAAGCTTTATTTACAGAAACATATTGTACTTGGGTTACAACAGTTGTAGAGACAAAGCTAAATCTAGAAGGAAAAAAAAACTTTCCAGAACATTGTGTTTGGCCACTCTATGTGATCACAATTGGGTTCTTATTCTTCTACCCACCATGAGATTACTAAATAATATGTAAAACCCCAAAAAAGAATTGAAATATTCAAAGTCCTGACAGGCACAATTCCTTCTTGGTATTAAAAAAATATCAAGAATGGTGACAGAAAGTATTTTTCCGTTAACTCATCCACTGCAGAGAGGAAAGTGCATTCTTTGGCTGAGGGTGGAGGAGTGAGTGTGAGCAATTTAATGCATGACAGCCCTCTGAGATGAAACCCTGTCTCCCCCTATAAGTAGAGGACGCTATGCTATCAAGCAGGGCACACTCGCCGACTCTCAGCTGTAGTGTCCTGGGCTAGTAAGAGAGTGGCATGAGCCTCGAATGGTGGTGCACACCTGTATGCCTGTACTCAGACAACTGAGGCAGGTGGATGACCAGCTCCTGGTCAACCCGTGCCATTGTGCCATTTAAACTAGGTGCACGGAAATAAGGGAAAGAATGCATGGTAGAAATGGGGTGGAAACCTTCTATGTAGTAATCATTTTGCTCTCTCTCTCTCTCTCTGAGGTATTATATTTATTATATAGTATTATATATTATCATTAATACACAGTTATATAACAATGTTATGTTGATATTTTAAATTAAATCAAATATTATAATATAGACTAACTATATGTAATATATTTATGATATATAATACATAATTATATTATAATAATTTTATATAAATTTATAAATATATAATAAATTTATAACATGTTTATAACATAACATGTTGTTACATAATATTAATAATATATTAATTATTGTGTTATAATAATTAGTTTATATAATATTATTTATCATTATATTATATAATGTTAATTGTGCTGTTATATATTTTAATATTATATTATAAACTATATTACATTATATATTATATTATTATTACATAATATATCATATTATATTAACTACATTATATCATATATAGGTTTATATAGAAAAATTTTATGATATGTTATATATTTACATATTATATAGAGATTTACAGAAATGAATTTTACTCAGTGCCTCTGGTTTCCATCTTGCTCCTACAACAGGTAACTAGGAAGGAAGGAAGGAAAGAAGGAAGGAAGGAAGGGAGGAAGGAAGGGTAATAGGTAGATGAGTAGGTGTATGGATGGATGGGTAGATGTTTAAATGGATGGGTGAATAAATAGGAAGGAGGGAAGGAAGGAAAAAAAGAAGGAAGGGAGGGAGGAAGGAAGGAAGGAAGGAAGGAAGGAAGGAAGGAGGAAGGAAGGAAGGAAGGAAGGAAGGAAGGAAGGAAGGAAGGAAGGAAGGAAGGAAGGAAGGAAGGAAAGAAGATGTATTCCCTACACAAAAACATCTCCCTTCCTGTTCTCAGTCTGCTGTTCTTCTGCAGACAGAAGCCAGAACAAAGTGATGGTCTGGAAAGAAGGACTAAGAGTGTACAAGCAGCTTCCCAAATGTGCATATTCTGCTCCTTAAACCACATGCCCTCGGGGAAGGTACAGGTGCCAACGAATCCAACACTAGCCAGCAGATTTTTTTGTTTTGTTTTGCTGTTTTGTAGTTTAGAAGAGCAAGGTCTACATAAATACCTTGCACTTAGGGATATCTGTAAAAAATTTACAGATATCTTTCATTAGAGCAATCCTAGTTCTATATATCTGACTAAAGAGACAATTACGTCTTCGTGCAGTTTCTGGTTTGTGATTTTCTCCTCGGAATGGCTGTGGACTGTTCCAGGAAAGGACAAGTCCTGTCTTGTAGGTGTAAACACTGTTTTGTGACTCTATCCTTTCTCTCACTCAGCAAGGTAGGAAAAAATATGTTCGTTTTAGACAGAAAGTGCTGAGCTTTGTAATGGAGACTTAGGCTCTGGGAAGGGGAGTTTATTGAACTGAAAACATACTTGTACCATCGGTATGCATCCTGGGAGAGGTCTTGGAAGGACTGAGTCAGGTTTCTATTCTAAACAGCTAAGCAGTAGAGGGAGATTTGGGAAGTTGTCTGGTGCTTGAGAGGTGATAACATGTGCAAAGGAGAATGCTGACCTGGGATATTTATTCAGTGCAGATGACGTGCAAATAATGTTCTCTCTGCTCCTTGAGGAGATACTCTAAGAAAGGCTGGGTAATTTTTACCTGGGAAAGTGAAATATCTTATTCTAACAACACAAATTATATAGAAAAATATGAATAATAATATAGATTAGATTTGTTGTTCTATTAGATTGCCTGGAAAAGCTTAACTGATTTTTATCAACAATGCTATAATCTGGTACTTCATAAATTGTAGGTATTTTTTTCTCCTTCTAACCTGATATTTCTATGTCCTTCCATTTTCCATACTTGTGGAAACAATGGTATCTATTATCTAGTCAAACGATGTACTGTTTAATTTTCTTCTTTTATTTCAATGCTCTTTTACATGTATATGTATCATACTTACTAGGTAAAAAAATTCCTTATAGTTGAGACAGTTACTTCATAATTATACAATCACATTTTTGAAGCAGATATAAAGTTTTTGTTATAAATTTTATGTTCATGGAACTGTTTTCCCTGGATACATTTCCAGGAACTGGGTCTAAAGTATCCAAAATCCACAAAGCACTTGGCCGATTCACCATGTAGGAGCCTCCTATTTGTGCAGATTCTTCACTTTCAAAAGACTCTTATCATTCTGGCATCATGTTTCCTTATAGCTTGTATTTTTTGCTATGTGTATGTGTGTGTGTTTTCTTCTTTAAAAAGCTTTTTTTCTCCTGTGTGTATGTGTGTGTGCATGCTCACTCACAGTTGATCTCACCTTATATGATTTGCAGATATTATAGTCATTCACAAGGTTGGCCTCAAAATCACTTTTCCCCTTCTCCTCAAATGCACAGACACCAGTGCAAACCCATAAAGATCTCTAAAAACCCAGAAAGGCATGATGCCACCAAAGGAAGCTAATTGAAGCTCCATCAACTAACCTATCACAAAAACTGATAACCATAAACTGTCTGATCCAAAAACTTCACAGTAGTCATCTTAAAGGTCTGTTGAACTTGGATTTCTCAGTCTCCAGAACTGTGATAAATAAGTGCCTGTTGCTTGTCCTACATCCAGTTCTTGGTATTGGGTTATGTCAATCCAAACAGACTATGATGAGTCCCTTCCCACTCTTTCGCCTTTGTCATCACATTAAGGTGCCTGCCAAGATGTTTCACTTGCAGAGTTCCCAGAAGCTGCAGATGCTGAGAACTCCTTGAGAAAGCACATCCCTGAATCCATCGAGCTGAAGGTAGAAACAAAGGCCTCTGTGTCTTCCTGTGCCAGCGGAGCGAAAGGAAATGTCTTTTACTGAGCAACTATGCTGTGCTGGGAACTTACTCAGGCTTCATCTCATTTTGTCTACATCACTTATTTGAACGGAAGCACCGTATGTTCATGTCGCCCCAAAGGAAACATACCTTAGCAATGCCATTTGCCTGGTATTAAGAAATGGAAAAGTCTTGCTGATTCATCAGTGCATGGCATTCTTTGCTTTCAAAGAAAGTTTCACAATGACATTGGATTTCTCCCAGATTTCCCTTCAAATGGATGTTTAACTACAAGTTAATTTTTAAACAGTTGTACCAGGTATCTGTGCCATGGAACTGCTCAAAACATGTAAGCAATCCACTCGTATTTCACCAAAGCTCGTAAGAGATTGTGTGTTATATAAAAGGTAGACCTGAAAATGATTATATATTATTCAGTAGTTCACTACAAAAATAATTGTGTATTTTTTTTACTATCTTTTCATTTATCTTTTCTTTCTTGTTTACTTTTCTTGTTCCATTTCTTTTAGAGGGCCACTTTTTAGTTCTCTTTATCCTTTGTATTATTCTATTATTGCCTCTATTTTTATTTATTTAGTTTTCTCTGATCATTTTTATATTCCTACTCCTATTCATTTTCAGTTAGGCTACTGTTTTTCCCCTAAAACCTTGAAATACATTATTAAATTATCAAGTTCTCTCTCTTTTTTTCAATGTAGGTACTTAATACTATAAAATTCACTCTTACACTGGGCACTGTAATGGTTGCCAAAATTCTAGCTACTCAGGAAGCTGAGATCTGAGGATTGAAATTTGAAGCCAGTTGGGGCAGGAAAATCCCTTCAAAAGCAGAAGTGAGGATCAAATAGTAGAAAGCTAGCCTAGTTGGGGCAGGAAAATCCCTTCAAAAGCAGAAGTGAGGATCAAATAGTAGAAAGCTAGCCTTGAGCAAAAAATCCCCGAACAGTGCTCACTGAGGTCAAGCCCCAGGACTGATTAAAAAGATATCCCTCTTAGTACAGTATTTCTTCTAGTTTGCTTATTTCAAGATGTGGTGTTTCTGTTTTTGTTTGATTCCGGGACTGAAAAAAAAAACCCTAGTTTCTAAATGATCTGCTTCTTTTTTTTTTTTTTTTAAAGAAATGTAGGTAACATTGAATGCAAAGTATAACAGTCCAACAAAAAGAATACTAAAGAGATAGGTAATAATTGGTGTTTAAGAGACCATAAATTTCCAGTCTTGTAATGAGGACAGAGTAAGTGTACAGGTGGCTAACATTCTGTAAACTTTCTTCTTGTTGGGACCAAATAACTGGCAGAAACATCTTACGGAAAGAGACTTACATTGGCTCATACTTTTATCAGGATCAGTCCATGGTAACCTGGCACATATGCACGATATCAGGGCAGCAGGAACACGGGACAGGGACCCTCCATGCTTTGATGGTCAGGACACATCAAGAGGGATACAGGGAGGGGCCAAGGATGAGGGCCTCCCCCCCCAGTAAACTCTTTCTTCCAGGGAAGACTCACCCCCAAAAGTTTCCAGAGCTGCTTCCAAATAGTGCCACCTAGTGACACCCTAGGCTTTAACCCATGAGCCTTTGAATTATGAAAGTTTTTATGAAAGTAGGTTATCTAGTCTATGTCAATGTCAAATGGTTTTTAGGCTGTACTTTTTTACTCCACTAAAAAAACAAAACCAAGGAAACACAAGACTTTTGAGGACAGGGCCAAAGCTGGTGTGGTGATCCTTCTGCCTCAGTTTCCTGAGTGTTGGGGTTACAGGCATCTACTACCCTACCAGCCTCCAGATGTCATTTTTCTCCATTATTTCAACCGAAAGTTAATACTTTTCAAAGACAAAATGTTAGGATTAAGGATTGTTTAGGACCATCATTTCATAGATGTGACCCTAACCATGGTCAAATTCAAAGCGCTTTTCCATCTCTGCTGGATGCTGACCCTCCCGTTTTATTGAAATGTTACAGGTTTATGGTACCCTCTTCCATATGAAACAAGGAAATCCATTCAAGCTCAAGGCCCTGGTGCACAAGTGGCCTGATTTTAGCACAGTGGTTATTCGTCCTCAGGATCAGGTCAGTTGCCAAAGGTGGAATGAATAAATATTCCTCTCTGTTCATGTCTGCTATGTGTCTGCTATGTGCCTGGCATCATGGTAGATCCCAGGGAAACATACATGAAGCATCATGATGCTGACAAGACCCTGTCCTCCATTTTCTCAGAGTGGGAAGAAGAATGCAGAGAAATCTACAGATAAATTACAGCGTGGTTTGAAATGTGCGGGAGCAGAAGCATAAACATGACATGCCAGTAGTGCACAGAGAAACTTGATTAAAAGTCTATGGGGAATATTTCACACTCATTTTATTTTATTTTTTAATTTTTTGTCGGTCATGAGGCTTGAACTCTGGGCCTGAATGCTGTCCCTCAGCTTTTCAGCTCAAGGCTAGCATTCTACCACTTCGGCCACTGCTCCACTTCCGGTTTTCTAGTGGTTTATTGGAGATAAGAGTCTCACGGACTTTCCTGTCTGAGCTGGCTTTGAACCTGGATCCTCAGATCTCAGCCTCCTGAGTAGCTAGGATTACAGGCATGAGCCACCAGGCTCCCAGCTTTGTTGTTGTTGTTTTAACATTGTTCTCCTCAGCCAGGATTTGATGATGCTGAATATCAAACTTCTTTTTTTGGAGGGATGGGGTGGGAAAGGAGTGTAATTTCTTATATTTAGTTTATGAGAATTAGAAGCAATCAATAAAGGCCATGCCAATTAAAGATCCTGAAATTTTGCTCTAGTAAGAGCATATGTATGTGTATGTATCAATTAAAGATCCTGAAATTTTGCTATAGTAAGAGCATATGTATGTGTATGTATCAATAAGTTCATTTTCTTGATAGAATTATAGTTCATTTAACTGCAAGTATAGTTCATGCTTTATAATTTTATGTAAAGAAATGGCTGCTTCATCAGCTTTTTCTTTGATTTCATTATCTGCAATGCATACTCGAATCCTCTTCCCTATGGATTTTAATCACAAACCACTCAGAGGCCAGGGAGAACATTGATTTGGCCGAAGCTTTTGCTTTACAGTTGATATTTGATGTTTTTTACTTGTTTGGGTTTTTTTTTTTTTTTGCAAGTACAGAATAATGATTTTAAATGGGTTTGTTTCTGACATTTAAATGCAGCAGCTGAATTAGGGATAGGTTTTTCTCGGGATATTTTTACATTTTGAACTGAATAAAGAAGTGTTTGACTTTACAATGTAAATAATTTTTATGAAAAGGTTAAATAAAAAGCCAGCAGAAAATACTATTATTTTTCATATCTTAAAATATAATAGTACAATGGGATACTGAAGACTAGTATAACTATTAGCATCAGCAAACATTTTAGTTGCTTCTCTTTCTTAACTCAAACAGGAAATGTCAGATGACTTGGACCATTACACTAATACATACCTAATCTTCACCCAGGATCTTAAGAAATGCCAGGAATTCCTTGGCATACCAGAAGTCATTAACTGGAAACAACATTTGCAGATTCAAAGTAAGAGAACTTGGATGCATGGGGGGCAGGTAGGGATCTTCTGTGTCCTTTGCCAGTCACTCTCCTTTTCTGCTAAGCCTTAGACCTCCACATGGTTTGTTCTCAGCTCCACTCAGCCAGCTGCTGTCCAGTTCTTGTCTCGGCAAATGCCTCCACCGTAGTGAACTGTTTTCACTGTGTAAGTTTTACAAAGCAACTTGGGATACAATTTCTTAGAAGCCGAGGACTCATGATTTATCCTCTGACATGTAAATGATCTACTGAAGTACATAGGAAAGCAATGCTCATCTATCCCATCTCTGTTAAATTTACAAAGGAGCCTTTTTTTTTTATTGTAAAGATACTATACAGGGGGTTACAGTTACATGAGTGAGGTAATGAGTACACTTCCTCTTGAACATTGTTACCCCCTCCATTGTTTTCCCCCTACCATCCCC